AAAAAAAAAAAAAAAAAATTTTCTTTTTGTTTTCACTGACCGAAAGTTTACAGAACGATCTAGCTCCTGAAAGCAGTAGGAAGAGCAAGAAAAACAAAAAAAAAAAAAGATAAAAAAAAAAAAAAAAAAAAAAAAAAAAAAAAAGAAGAAAATTTTCCTTTAGTAGTATGATGTTCACTTTTATACATCTAAACACCAAATTATATCCCCTGCCATTAAAAATGAGCAGATTAAAGTGAACAAAAACACAGAGGATGCTCATCGCAGCATTACTTAAAACTGCATAAAACTGGAAGCAAACCAAATATCCACCAGTAAGGAATTTGGCATAGGAATTAGTCTATCCATTCACTGCACCACACACTGCCCAGAGAGCACATTCACACAGAAAGGTCTCCAACAGAATTACATGAAACAGTGAGTAGCCAGACAGACATCAGACACAATCCTGTTTATATAAAAAGTAAACAGTACATTCTGGAGCAGCACATATCAAACTGTTAAAAAGAATGCATTCAGAGGGATAGCATTTTACATATATCTGCAATGTTACTCATTTTTATCATAAGCATGTATTACATCTGTAACCAGAAAAATGCAAGCTCAAGAACAAAAAAAAATAGGAATTTAGAAAATGCAAGAGGCAGGCTGGGCACAGTGGCTGTAGTCCCAGCTACTCGGGAGGCTGAGACAGGGGAAATGCTTGAACCCCGGAGGCGGAGGTTGCAGTGAGCTGATACTGCGCCACTGCACTCCAGCCTGGGTGCTGGAGCAAGACTCCGTCTCAAAAAAAAAAAGGAAAAATAACCATCTATATTTGGCTAATATAGAAAATCTAGTTTTATTAAGATATTAAATGAAAATTCAGGCCGGGCACAGTGGCTCATAACTATAATCCCAGCACTTTGGGAGGTGGGCAGATCACGAGGTCAAGAGTTTGAGACCATTCTGGCCAATAGGTAAAACTCCATCTCTACTAAAAATACAAAAATTAGCTGGGCATGGTGGCGTGGGCCTATAGTCCCAGCTACTCGGGAGGCTGAGGCAAAAGAATCACTTGAACCCTGGAGGCAGAGGTTGCAGTGAGCCGAAATCACACCACTGTATTCCAGCCTGGGCGACAGAGTGCGATTCCGTCTCAAAAAAAAAAAAGAAAGAAAAAGACAAAAAGAAAAAGAAAATTCAAAGAGTAATAAAAAAAACTTTTAAAAGCTTTTTCATGATGCTTACTACAAAGCTTGAATAATCCCTCCAAATGAAATCTTAGCATATTGAATTTTTCAATTTATATTCTCTAACAAGTAGTCTAAATTACAAATGAACTATAGTTATATGACTTCTTTTAAAAATGTAATTACTCGCATAATTATGAAATTTACCTTTATCTCCAATGTTATATCAAGATATGGATCAAAAGTATCTGAAACGCCCTTGCAATTTAAACATTTGACTGAAATAAAAATAAAATGCAAAAGATGAGCAAAGTATAATCATTACAGCAACATCAACTATTGAAATGACAAAATACAATTTTGAAATTTAAAATTTTTTACCTGTAATTTTTCTATCAGTTGAACAAAAAAAAGTTTTAAATTAATACTACTCATAATATGGGTGAAAAGTGTAATGAATTTGACCCTCATATACTATTGGTTAGAATCAAAACTGGTATAACCTTTTAGAAGGACAAGGTGACAGAATTAAAATTTATAATACACACTCCCTGTGATCCAGAAATTCTAATACTAAGAATTCATCATACATATATACTTTTACCCAGACAGAAAGCGTATGTGTATGGATGCTCCATGAACAACAAAACACAAATAACCTAAATCCCCATCGACAGGGGACTAAAATCAAAGGAACACTACTGCAACTGTCGAAGGCTGTTAGGCCTGTGTGCTGAAATGTAAAAGACTCCTAATACGAAGAGACAAATGGAAGCAGTGCACACAGTATGCTCCCAGTTTGTTCATGCACAGGAAACTACCAGAAGGATTTACTACAACCTGGCACCAGGGTTGCCTTTGGGTAAAAGGAATGAGAATCTGGGCTGGAGAGAAGTACTTTTCCTTCCTTCCTAGCAGGACTAACACTGTCCAACTTTTACCATTTTTTAACCACATGCGTGTATCATTTTATCAACTTATAAGCAAAAGTTTACCTCTAGATCTTAGGTATCCTCCAAATATCTGACAAACGAGAGTGGTGGCCTGGGTGTGTCTGTCCAATCTGAAAAACATCGAACAGTGACATGAGAGAGGAGCTCTGCAAAAACTCCAGATGCTGTGACCAGATTTCAAACACATGTGAGCTTACAAAGATCAAGAATTCTAACAGGATAGCCATGGAAAATAAAAGGATGGCACGTGTGGCAGCCCAAGAGCATCCCTGCCTGGCCAGAACACAGGGAGGTCTGGGAGTGGTGGGAGGAGAGGCAGAGCTGTGGGAGCTGTGTCTGTCAAGAAGGGACTTGGGAAGCAAGGCAGGAGTCTGGTCCTGAAGCAGGAAGACGGCAGCCTCCGGGGGCTGCGGCCTGTGCGGGAGGAAAGGGAGCAGAGGCGGAAAAGGCAAAGAGTCTTCCTCCGACCCAAGTCTGTCACCACCCGGATGATGAGGGCCTAGACAGAGCGGTGCCGGGGCAGGGAGAATACAGAGGGAGATCTACCAGGTGTGTTCAGACAGCACCAAGCGGCTTAGAATGCATTATCGAACCATCTCCTCATTCTTCCTCGTGAGTTTAGATTTTAAGGAATAAAGTACAGGAATCAGTAACTGATTGGGGTGGGGGTTCAGGAAATAAATACAGGTTGGAGGGCAGCAGAGAAAAGAATACGTCAGGCACAACTAAAAAGGAGAAGCAGCTAGTTTGAGATTTGCAGACGTCTGCTGATAATCAGAAATTAAACAGCTGCAAGACCAATGTTTATTTCCTGACATCTATGACTGAGCAAACTCAAACTGTTACAGTAAGATACATCTGTAAATTTCAACCATTTAAAACTAATGCACATCACCTAAGGAAGAGGCAGAGCAAAGCCAAAAGGTAAAGTGAACATAGTTCTGTGTGCTTCCAACAAAAAAGGTGAAAATGAATTCTGGTAAGAATAAATTACAGCTGGAGATCCCAAATGAAGAAATGGCTGGCGCTCTGTTGTACTTACTTATTGCTGCCATTCAAGCATGCTTTTTGCATAGCATCAACAGTGTATTGAAGGAATTCATGGGCATCTTCTTGGTTTCCAAAACGAAAGTGCCTAGCTATACCTGTAAAATTTCAGTAAAGACAAGGTTTTATCATTACACATAATAAGCCTAAGTTGTACCCCCCAAAATATATCTTACAATAATATGTTGGTTGGAAAACTCCCAAATACTTATTTTATGAGGAAATAGCACTAACATAAGCCACTAACATAAGCTATAAGCAGGATCAGGCCCTTTAGACCAGAATCCCCAACCGTTTCGGCACCAGGGACTGGTTTCATGGAAGACAATTTTTCCACAGACCAAAAGAGGGGGTTGGGATGAAACTGTTCCAGCTCAGATCATCAGGCACGAGATTCTCCTAAGGAGCGTGCAACCTGGATCCCATGCATGCACAGTTCACAACAGGGTTCGCGCTGCTATGAGAATCTAACGCGGTCACTGATCTGACAGGAGGCAGAGCTCAGGTGGGAATGCTCACCTGCTGCTCACGTCCTGCTGTGTGGCCCAGTTCCCAACAGGCCACATCAGGTACCAGTCCACAGCCCAGGGGTTAGGGACTCCTGCTTTACACCATTAAAAGTCCACAGCAGCTAGAGTTTCTGAGAGTCTAGAGAGTAGCTACAGAGTGACTCATGTTTTTAGCAAGTTAATAAAGTTACACTTGAATAAACTGGCTGTTTTGTCTCAAGTTTGTCCAAAATGTTATGTTGGTGATTTTAAATTGGTGCTACATCTCTATAATAGAGAATCCATTCAAAACATAAATATCCCAACCTATCTAATTCTATCCCAATGACCCACAGAAGAACTTATATTTGCAGGTGCAGAGAAACATTTCAGTCCTGTTTCTAATTGATTACACAGCTACAAGACCAAATTATTTTTTAAATTATAATAAAAAATTAACACAAAAGTATAAGCAATATCACACTAAAACATATATACTGAATTTTACATGTGTATGAAGGTATAAAATGTTCCAGCTTAAATCATATGAAACTGCCAACACTCCACCAGTTTAGACCTACAAACCTGACAATTTCATGATTTAACCATGTGTGTATCAGTGGATACACACATACACATACATACATACACACACACACACAGAGCAATGACATTTTCTTAAAAGACTAGGTTTAAAAATGTTAGTCATGCCTGCTATATAAGTATGTATAAAAATAAATATACGTGGTCAGGAGTGGTGGCTCACGCCTGTAATCTCAGCACTTTGGGAGGCAGAGGCGGGTGAATCATGAGGTCAGGATATCGAGGCCATCCTGGCTAACATGGTGGAACTCCGTCTCTACTAAAAATACACAAAATTAGCCGGGCGCAATGGCACACACCTGTAGTCCCAGCTACTCAGGAGGCTGACGCTGGAGAATCGCTGGAACCCGGGAGGCGGAGGTTGCAGTGAGCCAAGATCGCACCACTGTACTCCAGCCTGGGCGACAGAGCGAGACTCCATCTCAAAAATAAATAAATAAAAACAAATAAATAAATATATGTATAAATAGCCAGGCACGGTGGCTCATGTCTGTAATCCCTGCACTTTGGGAGGCCAAGGTGGGTGGATCACCTGAGGTCAGGAGTTCAAGACCACCTTGGCCAACAAGCTGAAACCTTGTCTCCATTAAAACTACAAAATTAGCCAGGTGTGGTGGTGCACACCTGTAATCCCAGCTACTTGGGAGGCTGAGGCAGGAGAATCACTTGAACCCGAGGGGCAGAGGTTGTAGTGAGCCTCGTGCCACTGCACTCCAGGCAGGGCGACAGAGCAAGACTCTGTCTCAAATGAATGAATAAATGAATGAATGAATGCATACATGTATAAACAATCCAAACCTCCCTGGCTAAATTTTGCCAGGCTTCAACAACATTTCAAAGGTTTTTGACTTGTCTGTTGTGGTCTATCAATAATGCCAAGGACCAATATAAGACCTCTTTAATCTTCAGTGGCTTTCTAGGCAAAAAGATTACAGTTTGTTACTGTATAATTTCACATCCCTATAATTACCCAGTTAGATGCCAGATTAAGAGTTACAGTTTTGTTTGTATGCATTTTTTATTCCAACTCAGTTAATTAACATGATGTAAAAGTGTACTGCAAAAATACACAGAAAGTATGTAAGAAAATTTCATGCACCTGTCCATCTAAAATTTAAAAATTAAATAGAAAAAAGTAAAATTTATCCACAAATTTGCTAAGCTCTGAGTATATATTCTTTTAATACTGTAATTAAGTTGGGCACCGTGGTGCACATCTGTAATCCCAGCTACTCAACTGGGGCAGGAGGATCACTTGAGCTAGGAGTTCAAGAGTCACCTGGGCAAAATAGTGAGACACAGTCTCAAAAAAACAAAACAAAACAAAAGAAAAAACAGAATTAACCTTATTTATTTATTTATTTTTACTGCTGCTTGCAGAGCAGGGCTAATCCACAGGCAGTGTGTCCGGAGTAGCCTAATTAACTTTATTTTGACAATTTCTGTCACTGTGTATAGTATAATATTCATTCACCAAACTGAAACTAAAAACTGTTTACAAAAACCTGTGAGACAATATCAGAATTAGTATTACTCAGCATAGAAATCCAAGTGTCACAGCAAAAACACTATAAAACTTACCAATTATTTTAACATATTGATTTTTAATAGTTTAAAATTTGTTAAATTGAATAGTCTTTAATATATTGTCATCTTTTGCTTTAAAGTTTCAAAATGTGTTTATATAGCAAATGCTTTACTAAAAATTTGTTATTGAAGACACAGCCACGCATGACAAAACATAATTGTTTTCTAATACATGAGGGGTTCGGTTTTTCACCAGTTGGACTTTAAGAATAACTAGGTAATAGGCCGGGTGTGATGGCTCACACCTGTAATCCCAGCACTTTGGGAGGCGGAGGCAGGTGGGTCACCTGAGGTCAGGAGTTCAAGACCAGCCTGACCAACATGGAGAAACCTCATCCGTACTAAAAATACAAAATTAGCCTG